TTTTTTTTTGGTGGAACTAGAGATTGAACTCAGGCCCTTGTGCTTGCCAGGCAAGCACTTATTCTACTGAGCTATCTCCCCAGCCCCTGGACATTTTAAATTGTAGATAAAAAGTATAAGCGAATTTCTCTTGTTTGGGTTGGGAGAAAAGTGACATCTGTACTGTACTAAGCTATTATAGTATAATATTACATTATTATTAGTTAATATTTGAACATAGGTTATGTGTGAGGCACTGTGGCAGAGGGTAGAGGTTGTAGGAGAAAGTAGAGGTGGTCTCACTCCTCACAAGTTAGAGGCTGTTTCATTAAGTTAGTAGTCTGGTTTGCTAGTTAATGTTTGGCATATCATAGTGTGCTTTTACTATATTAGTTTTGACCTAACATTTCAATATACTGATTTCCTTGAAAGTTGTTCCCCATTTTTTAAAACAGACTAAGAGAAGACTTACAGGTAGCATTAACTAGGAAATCAGTAATAAACTTCACAAACTTTAATTGAGTTTCTGGACTAGATTGGCAATAACAATAGTCATAAAACTCCACTCACAATCAACTCGTGTGCCATCAGACATACACACATCAATTTTGAAATTATTTTTGAAAGTAAATACGAGTTCACATTTTTCTCTGTTGGGCTGAGTTTCACATGTTGCTTGGTCATAAATGGAAGTCGAGGCTCCTGAGGGAGGTGGGAGTTGATCTGCAGGGCTTGTTGTGAAGCAGCTGCTTCTCTTGGGGGGCTGGATAAGAAAGACATAAGCGACAGGAGCTTCTCCCTTTACTGCACAGGCTGAGCTTTGAACCTTCCTTTGCCCTTCAATTATTCTCCCAGAAATTTGAGGTACAAAGCTGCTGAGTCTCCCCTAGTGCACTCAGGGCTCCATGAAGAGGTTAAAAGTGGAGAAGCAGTAGCAGCCTAGTTCTTCGGAAAGATTCAGAAATATTGGGAGCCTCAATATTAAAAGCAATGTAGGGGGCGGGGAGATGGCTCAGTAGAATAAGTGCTTCCCTGGCAAGCGCACGGGCCTGAGTTCAATCCCCGGTTCCGCCAAAAAAAAAATAAATAAATAAAAATAATAATAATAAATAAATAAATAAAATAAAAGCAATGGAGCTCCTATATACATAGACATAGCCATAGGCTTAGGCATAGCATAGGCATAAGCATAAGCATAGGCATAGGCATGAAATTCCCTTGGAATAATTTGCCCCTGTGAAAATTCTTTTATAAATGCTCACAAAAAATTCTCTCTCTCTCTCTCTCTCTCTCTCTCTCTCTCTCTCTCTCTCACACACACATTCACAAACACTTTCATACTTTTATTACTTTTCTTTTACCTAACCAAGAAATTGCTAGGAAAAGAGCATAATTTTGAACATCCAGGCTCCAATTAATTTGTGATGAACTTTCTAATATTCCAACTGTTTAAAGCAGGACTAAAAGCCATGAAGATTGTTAAAAAGAAAAAAAAAAGCCAAGCAAAAGATTATCCATCAGGCATGATACGTATGAAAATATGTACAGTAAAAACAAAGCAAACCACCGTGCTTAATTCAATTTCTTTTTTTTTGTCCCCCAAAGTAAATGATGAAGACACCCTAAAAGCATACAAGCAATGTATTTGAATTGATTTTTAAATGTCTTGTGTGACCTTATTTGTTATAGACTTGGAAATACCTCTGGCCCTCAGAGACTTGGGTCGGGGGCCTCTGAAAACAGCTCACACGTCTTCCTTCTCCCATTTCTTCCCTACAAAGACCATTTCCTGCCTCTCCCTCTCTTCTCCTTAGTAGATAAAAAGGACACAGAACAGCTCTTTATTTGCTGCCCAAAACATGAGAATTGAAATGGAACCACACGCAAACAGAATTGAAGGTCCTTTAAGTATTATTTACCTTAAGACATGAACTACAGCGCTAACTATTCCCACTGTTTCCTCCGTGTGTTTTCAGTTGGCTGTCCTGTTTTAATTTTCTAGTTTGTCTTCCACTTTCATTGATGGTGGTGGGTTGGTACCGTCTATTGTAGTCACCTTCAATCTCGAACACTTAAATAATTAGCAAGCCCTGAAGATTTCTTAAAGATATAACTCGTTACTATCACAAATGAACATACGTTAGTATTCATATTAACATAGAACAATGCATAACAGCATACACATGTCATATTTTAATATTAGTATTTAATGAGTATTTTAATCTAATATTTCTTTCCTTTTTAATATTACCATCCAGCTGGTGTTACTTACCATGAGGCTGGTTCTTCTCTCAACTTTGAAAGAGTTACAAGTAGAGGGAGAGAAAAAAAAAGATCAAGCTAAAGTATTTTATTATAGAGGCAAAGCAGAAAGAAGTATTTACTGTAAGACAAAATCAAGCAGCCTTCAGGCAAATGCACTGGGGAGAGGACCCTGATTATTGCCAAAGAGACTTTGTCTGGGGACTTTTATACACAAAAATGACTATATCTCAGCTAAGTTGAGCTCAACCTATGGGGTCACAATGGGAAAGTTTGACATAGATATGGGCCAAGAGGAACTTGGGGCATGTTATAACCACTATGAACTGTGGCTTGAACAGAAAAAGCCATTTCTTAGAGAGGTATGGATGTCTCATTTCTGGGCACGAAAGTCTCACTGGTGGAATGAGAACTTTTGATTTAAGCTCCTAGAGCCCTGGTCTTGGCAGACATGTCCTTCCCCGAAATCTTTCCACCTCCCTCTCTGGAGGGGCTTTCCCCCTGGCCATCTGTCCCCTCAGTAGTGCTCTTTATGAGGACATGTCCCATGCTCCCCTCCCCTCAGGGTCACTCTGAGAAATCCATCATCTTCCTGCAGGGTCCTGCTCATCCTCAACTTCATGTTTATTAGAAACTGATTGTTTAGGTGACTGTTGGATGATTCTTGCCAGGTTAGGAAAATGGTACCCATGTCTTAGGCTGCAACCGAAGCCCAACCACACCAGCACGCGGGGCTGGCGGTTCATTCTCTCACCTCTCTTGTTATCTCCCTGTTTTAGTGTGCAATAATTTTTCCTACTGAGCATCTTAAAGAATTAATACAGAAACCATAATTTTTAAGTCTTACATATCTCACTTTCTGGTCATTTGTCTTCCTGGCTATAATTTATAATCCCACAAGTAAGGAGTAATTTTCTATGTCATTTTACTTGCTTTGAGTTATTTTGTGGAGGGTGATTATTTAAATTGTCTTTTAGATGAGCCATGTGATTTAGGTGGCACAGAATGAAAGTATTTCTAAGAAAATGAATCTGTCTTCACATAATATCAACCCCTAGCACTCGACAATGAGCCCACACAGATGGCGTCCTGCTTCAGGTTGATTGTTGCTACAAGTCATGTTGCCTACTCTTTTTTCATAAGAGACGTTTTATTGCTGTTATAGAATGACATTTCAAGATTCAGTTTATCACAACTCTGTTAAACTATGTCATTAAATTAGAATTTGAATTTGCATGTATATATACATATACATGTGTTATATATTTTTTAAAATTATCTATTGCCACTTAGCTACACCAAGCATCTATTCTCCAAGAAGGTATAAGACCTTATAGTTTATTCATTTTGTTTGAAGTAATATAGCTGTCAAGGTACAATTTATTATTGCAAAGAGCCATCCAGCACAAGTGATTTATTTTTTAAACAGCTCTTGAGGCCTTTGGTAAAACAAGCTTTCACTTTCGTTGCAGATCAAATTTGCATTGTCATTTCCAATACTAATGCTAATGTCTCACGCTGAGTGACCTAACGCTATGCTTTGGGACTGATTTCAAGATGTCGATTGTAACACCTACAGGTTGCTTAGATCAGATGCTTAATTATAAAATATTTTGCCTGCGTAGATTTTGCTGATATTTCAATCAAGCAGAAGCAAACAGTTCCCAGTCCTAAAATGACTCAGGACCAGAGAAACCTTAAAGCAAATATCAGTGACTGTCAAAAGCCAAAGATGTACAATCTGTAGTCAATTTACTTCATGGTGATAGGGGAGGGGTGTGTTCGGCAGGCAACAAAAGCATCATTTTTGCTTGTGTATTTGTGAGAAGCATGGAAAAAGGTGAAAAGTTCAACAGAAAACGCTTCTGAGCTGATGTGCAGCAGTGAGAAACACTTCCTTAACAGTGATGATGGTTAGGGTTGCAAACTCCCACCTCTTCTAAAACCTTAGACCTAGATTCTATTACACTAGTTAATATTCTTAGATTGAGATACAGTGGCTGAAAATCAGTTTCTGGTGCTTGGCTTGTAATGCCACTATTTACTGAGTACCAGAGGGGAGTGAGGCACTTCTTCTAAATACCTGTGATGATTCTTTGAAAACTTATAATTCAAAGAGATAGGAACTGTTTTTAGCACCATTTTGCACAAGAAAATCCTGTGCTCAGGGTACAATGGTTAATTACACAAAATCCAACAGTAAGTGAAGGCTTGGCCTGAGCCCAACGCTCTTACGGCAGCATCTACATTCCTAATCTAGAATGTCTCCTCTGGATCCCAAGTTTATAGTACTATCTTTCCATCTTCCTTCTAATGATAAGGTTATGCAAAATATAAATACACCTTCCACCATTTCAGGAGAAATTGATCTTTTACATATGTGTCTACCCTGTTCTCAACATTCGGGGGCTTTACCACTGGGATTCACTGATAAGTAATGCCAAGGAACCCAGAGGTCTTGTCCAATGTCAACAGCAGAAATAATCTCCCCAAGCAATAGTCAGACATTTGTATGCTTGCCAAAAGATGCACTGCGGCCCTGCCCCTTAGCTCAGTTCTTTAAGTGGCTGCTTCCACAAAACAGTCAGCCTCAGGTTGCTGTGATTCGATCCCCACAACTCAAACCAGCCAAACCTGCCCTGAAGGCATTCAGAGACAAAAAAAAAAAAAAGATGCACTGAAGTCATGATGATTAATCAATTTGCATATTAAAACAATATCTATAATATGAAATTAAATAATACTAGTCCATACCATTTTGACTTGCCTCTCACTGTTTTCCACTAAAGAAGGATTGAAGTCATATGCAACACTGAAGGGGGTTAAAGTGGCTGTGTTAATCATATATACATAGATGATTAGTGTTTGTTGGGAGAAATCATATCCTCAGTTGGGAGAAATGCACTGTGCTTGATAGATAACTGTGCTTAAAAGAGTGAAGACAATGGTGACTTGGAGGTGCTGTCGTGATAGCTCTCTTAGCACCTGGAGTTGTAGTTTTCACCCTTCCAAGCGTAGTGCGAATCAGGGCATAGCTGACGCTTAAAATGGACTTCTCCTGTGCTCCTGGGGCTGAGGTTTACAGGCAAGCTTCCTCTTGTGCTTATAAATTCACAGTTCTTCCATTCAGATATAATTGGAGAGATATTCAAGCTTAGTAATTATATCTAAAGTTGCATTTTACAGAAGTAGGTATCATGTCTAGAAATGTATTTCAGGAGACAGACATTTCTTCGAGGGAAGAAGATATTATTTCAGTGAAAACCCAGGAAGTATTAGTAGCTGAAATGAAAGCTGTACCTTTTGAAAACACACTATTTTTGAAAAAAAATCCGGAATTCACTTTTTTTTTTTGTACAAGGTCTTTCTTGCTAAGCAGCTCAGACTTGTAGTGATCCTCCTGTTTTCAGCCTACCCAGTGCTGGGATTACATGCATGCGCCACCATGCATGGGCTCAGCGGCTGGCTCAGCGCACCCAGAGGCAAAGCCAGCATGCATGTGGTACTGGGGATAGAACCCTGGTCCCTGCACTTACCTAAGCAGGTGCTGAGTCCACTGAGCTATTTCACTGGCCCTTGCTGATGAATTTTGTAAAGCTGCAGCCATCACCTACTTCCTGCTTTATTAGGCTTCTCTTTTCAGTTTTGAAAAAGAATTAGATGTTCCCAAAGTGCAAACAAGCATCAGACATTCTCATGAAGGCAACTTCTGGGCCACTGTTTGTGCCTAAAACTCCCTGCTTCCTCCAAGTGCCTGTCACTCTGTTGTGTCTCAGCCACTTCAAGAGCTGTGGTTTACACCAATGTTCTTAAATTATAACATTATTAAATTGAGCACACTACTTGGGAAAGAACACAGTTTATAAGATGGAAAGCATGAGGGGTCTTCTCTACAACCAAGGAGCTAACCTTAGATACCAAAGGCTTTTTCCCTTTATGATTATGGAATTCAATCAATCAACGAACATGAATATACGAATATACTTGAAGAAAGATTAAAACTAGAGAAGAGACAAAGAGAGCTTTCTTGCTAAGCATTATAATCAAATTATCATTCTTTCCCAGTTCCTTTTCCCTTCTAATTGTGTTCCATTTCTAACTTTTCCAAAATAAGGCAGTAACATTAAAAAAATAAGAGCATTATTTGTGTTGATGACAGAGGTTTCAAAACAGAACATTTAGCTAGTGGAACAATGGTATGAGCAGCATTAACATACATTCTGAAGTGATTTGTTGAAAATATAACTTTTATTTATATTATCAGGAAACATATATACCAAATTTATAAAAAGTCAAAAACAAGTTTTCGACCTAAATTGTAAATAAGTCCATCAACCCCTCCTCGGTAGACAGGTTCTGGGTTAGTGGTGTCTCCCACGGCCCCTGCTGTAACTCTCTGCCCTTTTAGATTGTACAGGGCTGTTGAGGACTCTTCACAATGCGAAGTTACTGCATATGTGAAAGTTGCTATGCTATAGAGCTCTTCTCCAGCTCTTTTAGGAGTTAAATTGCCCTACTCACAAAGGTAGAGAATGCTTGGTCTGACTCAAATGTTTTAGAAAATGCAAAGTAACTGCAATCATGTGATGTTTGAACAGCAAGTCATGGGCCTCTGGGTTAAATTTTGCCACAGGAATAAAATGAAATGTGAAAAAAAAAAAACCCCTCATTTAGAAGCTAATTTTTCATATACTTTGCATCCCCTTTTCTTTATCTCAGAGGTTCGTTTGAAGATTCAACAACGAGATTTTACACGGCATGCGTTGTAGAAGCTTTTGCTTATCTCCATTCCAAAGGAATCATTTATAGGGACCTCAAGCCAGAAAATCTCATCCTAGACCACCGGGGCTATGCCAAGCTGGTTGGTGCACTTTACATGACTTCTTTCTTGCAGTTTTCAAATAATGTTGTTAATAAAACTGTGTTTACTTGCCAATATTAAAAACTATTCTATGTTAATGTTCTATCTTTTCTTTTTAAAAATAATCTTTTCTTAAACATAAGTTATGGTGTTGCATTTTTCAATTAAATATTTTTAATTATGTAAAAGTTACCAGAATTTAAATTGGCTAAATTCAAATTACTAATCCCCTGACAAAATATGGCTTGTAAGCAGTCTGAGAAATCCATCTTGGTGGCATGTATTATTCTCAGAGTTGAGTAGAAGAAGCTCATAGAATTTATTTTCTTAGATAGCCTTCTAGTATTTTAAGGCAGTGTATCTTTACATTATAGAACAGTGTGAAGCATTTTAGTATTGTAGATTTTAGAATAATGCTGAGGTAAGAAACTGGGCTTTGAAGATATTATTGAGGCTATATGAATAAATAGCATTAACAATTGGTCAAAAGTTCTAAAACTGTACTGTAGAAGCCAATTTCTCTTACTTAACAGTATATGACATTTATGGATTTGGATCAGTCCGTGCTTGACTGTATTTTTAAATTTTGTAATTTTTAAAAGAAATACAAAAGCTTTAAATTTTTTTTCTGCATCTATACTCAGCCTTCAAATGGCTTTTAGAAAACTTAAGGCCACATTCCAATTTTATCTCATGCTCACCCAGAGAAAGCCTTTGGCATCATAGGTAGTTTACTTCGCTCTCTCAACAGGAAAGTGGATTCTCAAATAATTAATACTGGCGAATTATCACTTTCCTAAAGTCCAGCCTCAGTCATGCATAATCTGAGAAAGATGTTCGGTAGGCCCATTCAATATTTTAAAATTTTTGACTGAAGAAGAAATTTCCTCCAGTATAAAAATGGGAAAAATGAAAAGAATTTCCCGGAAGAAAAATTTACTTTTCCTTTTTCATATTACGAATTCCATCTAACACTCAGACTTCAAATTTTCCTTTGAAATTGAGCCTGAGCAGGTTGACTTTGTTTACAATATACTTGACTTATGTTTTTATATGTCTTTAATCACTGATATATTTCATTAAAATAACTTATTGCTGTATTATTTATTCATAAGTGACTTAAAAATCTTGTTTTCTTAACATAAAGGTTGATTTTGGCTTTGCAAAGAAAATAGGATTTGGAAAGAAGACGTGGACATTTTGTGGGACTCCAGAGTATGTAGCCCCAGAGGTCATCCTCAACAAAGGTCATGACATTTCAGCAGACTACTGGTCACTGGGGATTCTAATGTATGAACTTCTGACCGGCAGGTATGGACATGGGTAGAGGGCTGCTAGTAAAACTAGGGCACAAACTCCAGGCCCCTGCCTCTGTCGCACAGATTTGACCATCCCTGCATAATCTTGCACTGTGTCAGCACTGCATTTCAAGTAGTCAGGCAAGAGCCCACCAGTGCAGGAAGCTGGATCTGAGATAGTCAGAAGAGGGCAACCAATGCAAGGTTAACTTTTAGACTCATTAGTACCAGCTATGTGTGTATGTGCCCAATTGGGAACAGGTCCTGTGTCTTTATTTAAGATTTTTTTTTTTTATAAATTTTATTTATTTATTTATTTGAGAGAGAGAGAGAGAGAGAGAGAGAGAGAGAGAGAGAGAGAGAGATATAGAGAGAGAGGCCAGCTCAGCCCACCAGGGGGCGGGCTGGCTGGCATGTGGTGCTGGGGGATTGAACCGCGGTCCCTGATGCTTTTGCTAAGCTTGTTCTAAGTAGGTGCTTTAGACCACTGAGCCATCTCTCCAGCCCTATTTAAGATTTTTGAGTTCAGTCATTCAGCAAAAGTTAAAGGAAGAGAAAAAATTAAAAAAACAAAACAACAACAACAACAACAACAAAAAATAGGGGTGGGGGAGATAGCTCAGTAGAATAAGCATCTGCCTGGCAAGCGCAGGGTCCTGAGTTCAATCCCTGGAACCTAAAAATAAATAAATAAATAAATAAAATAAATTAAAGGAAGGGAAGATTAATTACATAAAGATTTCTAGGGCCAAATATCTATAGAAGAAGACATGTTAACAATGTTTTACATCTAAATGAAATGTGATATTTTGTGGATCTTTGGTATAATCTTATACCCAACAATGAAAAGGTACTAGAGATAACACAAGACATATGGCTGAATTATAAAGAAAAAGAAATGCACCACATGGCATGTGCTGAGGACAGTGAGTCATAGAATCATGATGACTGATAAACATCAAGGTTTGTCCAGGAGGCTTTTCAGGAGTACAGGACCTGGGCTGGCCAAATAGCTCAGTGGATTAAAGCACCTGCTTAGGCAGATGCAGAGGCTGGAAGTTCAATCCCTGGGCCTGCCATGCCAACCCCACCCCCTGGGCGCACTGAGACCTCGACTGAGACTGGGCCTTGACTAAGACCGGGTGTGGTGGCGCATGTCTGTAATTCCAGCACTTGAGAGGCTATAAGCAGAAGGATCACTATGAGTCCGATCTATGCAGTGAGACTCTGTACACCCTGTAAACCCTGTTCTAAAAATACAAAAACAAAAATAATAAGAAATAAACAAAAAACACGACTTTAGCTGGGCCTCAAACAAAGAATAAAATGTCCATGTAGGGAGAAAAGGGAGAAGCCTTCTAGGCAGAGAGGCAGGAAGGTTTTCCTACAATTACTAAGAGTAAGGTCCATCAATCCCCTGCTGAGTGTATTTCCAAATGACAAGAGCTTGGTATGCAAAAGACATGCCTCTACTCTGGCACTCTCTGCAGAACTGTTCCTAATTGCCCCGACATAGAAGCAACCCAAAGAAGTGCCACCATCTGAGGTGCGGATAAAGAGAATGGCTGTCTAAGATGAACATATAAAACCAAATTTATTGAGACTGGGTATGGTGGTGCAAGCCTTCAATCCCAGTGCTTGGAAGGCTGAAAACAGAAGGATCACTATGAGTCCAATCTGTGTAGTGAGACCCTGTACTAAATACATAAAAAACCAATGAAATTTATCAATGAAAAAGTTTTAATAAAAACCCCAAATTTGGCTTTTCCTCATTTTTTAAACTAAAGATCACAGTTAGCAGCTTAAGAGAGTAAAGAATAATGAAAATATGAAATGAATAGAAAATTTTAAAATTCTAAAGATTGTTGTAAGCAATTGTTCTAAACAATTGTATGTTAATCCATTTTTATTTTTTATTTTTTATTTTTAATCCATTTTTAAAAGTGACTCCAACATTTAGATACGGTGGGGGGAGAGAGATGAAAAAAATTAAAATGTGTTATGTATGTGAACCAACTCCCCACAAGAAGTGTACTGCAAACATGGCCTAATTTAAATAACATTGACACTTACTACCTAAGTCATATCTAAGTGAACAGAAAATGCTTGTAGAAAGAAAATCAAAGCAGAGCATCACAGCCCTTAACAAAAGAGAAATATGCTATTTTTATTTTAAGCCTTTCTCATGAAAGAAAATCATTTAAATGAATGATAAATATAAGGTATAAAAATAAAATAAAATTCATATTATTTTTTCAAAAGGATATATATCAATAAAATCAATTAAAATATAGAATAATCATGTTCCCATTAAGTTTATTACAGATTATTACAGTCACTAAAACTTTATGCCTAACAATTAAAATTTATAGTATGCAGTAGAGTTTCAAATTGATTCACTAGTACTTAGTGCTTAAAGAAAAATAACTTATTTAAAAATAAATTTGTTTTACCTGGTATAATATCTACCAAAAACCAGCTCTTGCTTATAGGGGTTTGAGTATTACAGTGTTGCTCCCAAGAGGACGCCTAGGCCAAGCGATCTGCTGAGAACGAATGAACGGAGGAAGACTAGAAAGAGCACAGTTCTGTGGACGCTTGCGATCCACAAATGTTTGATGGATTCTTTACTAACTGCAAAGTACTTTGTTCAGTCGGAGCTGAATAATGGAGCTGAATACAGGAGAATAAAAGCAGTTTTAAAGTGAAAACAGGGCCAGCCAAATATCTTGGGCTGGCCAAATAGCTCAGAGTATTCCAGTGCCTGCAAGCAGGCACAGGGGACTGGGGTTGGATCCCTGGGCCTGCCGTACCTGGGGTGTGCTGAGATGGAGATTAAGACTGGGCTTGGTGGCGAGCGCCTGTAATCCCAGCTCTTGGGAGGCTGTGAACAAGCGGCTCGTTATGAGTCCAATCCAGTAGTGAGACCCTGATCACCCGTAGACCCCTAAAATACAAAAATAAATGAATAAATAAAATAAAGTGAAAACAGATGTAAAATAGATCACTATCTAAATCATGTATGCAGTAGTATAATATACAACAAGTGGAATAAATGGTGCTATAAGAACATTGGACAGAGATCTTCATAGCTTAAAAATGAAGCATTAGGTTCAATGATTGAATAATTGTGGTTGGGACAGGCTATGTAATCAGTTACATTGGATTGGCCTGAGTAGGCCTTTTTGGAGTATGTGAAGCCTTAATCTGAGCTAGACCGAGACCGCAGAACTTCCAGGCAAAACGAGTGCTGAGAGGGCTGCAGAATAGGTAGGGGACGGCGTGAGCCACCACCAGATCCCTGAGGTCTCCTGCCTCCCCTAAAGATGGCAGACTTCGCCTTCAGTGTAAGCACCAAGTTAACTGCCATGAGAAAGGCCAGGAGGTTAAGGGGAAGGTGAAGGACCAGGACAGCGAGAGAGGCTTAGGTGCCCATGCTAAGAGGAAATGCAGAGAACAGAGGTCTTGCCTGACCCGTATGCTCCGTGGTGTCTTTGGCAGGGCTTCCACAGAGCTTTGCTATTTAACCAGATTTCACTCAACATAAGAATTGATGTCACCTGTGAAGTGTATAAGGACAAGGACATTTTGATTGCGGGTGTAGAAGGCCTGTCTATTTTTAATCTCTTCTCCTATCTCTCACTTTGCAGCCCACCTTTCTCAGGCCCAGATCCTATGAAAACCTATAACATCATACTGAGGGGGATTGACATGATAGAATTTCCAAAGAAGATTGCCAAAAATGCTGCTAATTTAATTAAGAAACTATGCAGGTGAGTGTTTTAACCACAATATTGTTGAAAGGACCACAATGTGAAGACTTTATTTCACAAAATTATTATCTTACTTTTAGGGATAATCCATCAGAAAGGCTAGGAAATCTGAAAAATGGAGTGAAAGACATTCAAAAACACAAGTGAGTATTCTTCTTTTACAACTCTAGGTTTCAGAGTTCAGGAAACCCGGCGAGTGTTTCTCCAGGGCAATGTGTTTTTGAATTATTGGGCTACAGCTAGCATAATTATCACACAGGCACACCCGAGAGAAAATACAGACATATTAGACCTTCAAAGGCCTTCTTATGAGTGCTTTGAGCTTTATTTAAATACAGCTGTGTCCTTCCAAACAATAAAGACAGTGAATCGGTCCCTCAATTCACACTAACTAGCTCTGTGCACTGGGTGCGCACATGCAGAAAATCATATTTTTAATTTGGAAGATCTGTCCTCTGCCAGACTATTAAAAACGAAGTGTCCGCTATGTCATACCTCATTTTAAAATTAAACAGAAATGTACATATTTCCAAATGCCTCCTGCTTAGGAGATAGCAGAAGAACAATGCAGTCTTTCAAATAACACCAGCATCTTCAACATTAAGTCTTCCCTCTTTTGGCTGCATAAGGCTAACCCAACAGAACTTGGTCATCTCCCTTGGACTGTGTGCCTGCCACTCCTGGGAACCCGGCATCCTTTCCAAGGAGCTTACTTACTGAGGCACCTCGGAGTATGTATCTAGAGGCCCTGCTAAGATTTTGGTATGCACATCTGCTAAAAGAGACACCTTTCAAAGATAAAACAAAAACTTTAGTGTCATGCCAGCACTCATCATTTTCACAAGAAAGCTGCATATACAGTATCTCCTATTATAATACCAAAAAGCAAACTGTGTTATGAAGACACACATGCAGCAATGGGAAGCGATCACTGAGCTGAGGTTGCATGCTGAGCCACGGACAAAGATGGAAGTCACTTTTTTGTTCTCGCTTTGAAATAAAATATGTAAGGGCCAGTGAGATTGTTCAGCCGACTAAGCACCTGATTTGGCAGGTGCAGGGACCAAGGTTCAAGCCTAGGTCCCCCTGCCATGCTGGCCACGCTTCCAGGGCACACTGAGCCAGCGAATGAGTCCAAGTGTGGAGGCACGTACTGTAATCCCAGTGTTGGTGAGGCTGGAAACAGGAGGATCACTATAAGTCTGAGCCATGTAGTGAGACCCTGTACCAAATACATAAAAAAAAGAAAAAAAATCTTGTAAGACACAAGCCCTTGCATATTGTGACATTTATTAAATTATAATGATAGCATAGAAATAAGGTCATATAGACATTATGACTGAAGTAACAAGGGAAAAATGTATGTGTAGAAGTTGGTGTTTAACTTGACAATTATACTTTTAAGAATATGCATTGAATAAAGTTATGTAATTCCAAAGATACTTCAATTTAGCAAATATTTCTGTCTCGTTAAAATGCTCAGCTAACTGCTTCCTACCACCTCTCTTAGATGCTGCAGTGAGGAGAATATAGCGGAGATTCAAAGCCTGTAACTCTCTGTATCTTTCTTTTCCAGATGGTTTGAGGGCTTTAACTGGGAAGGCTTAAGAAAAGGCACCCTGACACCTCCCATAATACCAAGTGTAAGTGGATTTCTGGGTTGTTATTGCGTGACACACTCCATGATGTTTGTGTCAGTGAACAAAAGCCTGTTATTTTCATATTGTATCCAATGACCATGTTAAATAAAATGCAAAAGAAGTATCATGTAAAGAAAAGGCCGTGTTCTAAACTACAAGCTTAAAAAGGGATCGCTGTTGGGGTAGTTGCTGTCTGTGTTTTGTGCTTATCTTTGTTTCATTTAGTGATGCATGAATCAAGTTTTATTACTGTGAATGGTACATACATGCAGATAGGACTAGAAAAGGATAATGAACCCACAACTATCAGTTTTATCAGCTGTCATTTCTTGGCCAGTGTTGTTTCCTTTATGTTCCCCCATAGTTCTCCCCAGTGTGATTTTATTTTATTTTATTATTTATTTATTTATTTGATACAGCATCTCACTATGCAGCTTAGTCTCATAGTGATCCTCCTGTCTCAGCCTCCCCAGCGCTGGGATTACAGGCATGTACCACCATGCCGAGTTTTGGTGGCCCACACGGCATGCTGGGCCAGCATGTCATACTCTATCAGGGATCAAACCCACGTCCTTGCACTTGCCAGGCAGGAGCTTCAACCCCTGTGCTATCTCCACAGTTGCCCAGTATGATTTTAAAGGACTTCCAGGCATACCATTTGTTTTTTCAATTCTTCTACTCAGCTTTAAGAGAGGAAGATTCTCCATTTGATAGCCGCTGTTCTGAGTGGGCTATTTACCTTGTGTTGAGCAGAAGCAGATCTCGCCTGATTGCGCTGATGTTTTTCAGCAGTACCTTGTCTGTTTCATGAAGTGTTTGGAGGGTTGTTTTGTGAGCCTGGAACTTTCACTTATGTGCTGCATATCTGAAGATTAACTCAAAACTCTGATGCAGACACATTTTCCCTTCTAAGATTTATGTCTGTGCTAACATTTGTTTTGCATTAAATAAAACAATATATCGAAAATGAAAATTATGTCTCAGATTACAGGTGGTAATTGTGTTCAAGAAATTTTATGTTTAGAACAAGAGCAAAGTAAGAAAGTGTTAGAAAGAGGCCAGGTAGATAGTTGAGTGGCATAAACACCTGCCTAGCGAGCACAAGGTCCTGAGTTCAATTACTGGGGGGGAGGGGAAGAGAGAGAGAGAGAGAGAGAGAGAGAGAGAGAGAGAGAGAGAGAGAGAAAGATAAGTGGTTAACCCATTTAACCATAACCTACAATTTATCAGAGGTCACTTTTTATTTAGTAAATAGTAATTTGAATGGGTTTTTACTGATGTTTTATAGCTAGGGCTTTGCCCAACAGATTTGCAATATCTTTGATTGAGCCTAACGCTGACTTTTATCATGCTTGCAATAAACACACAAGAGCCCGAATGTGGCCCCCCAGGCCCAGTGGCCTGAGCTCCCAACCGCTCCTCCAGCCTCGCCTTGTTCATCCCCCTCCCTTTTCATACTGCGGTTGCCAGGGCGTCATTCCCTTTCTGAAAGCACAGTACCCCCCACTTCAGGACTTGCATGTGTGCTATAACTTCCTCATCGATGATGAAAAACTGAACTTCTACTTTGGAGTTCCACTGAAGGCAGCCAGATACCTCCTCTTATTCATCCTCTCCCGTTTCAGGTTGCATCACCCACGGACACAAGCAACTTCGACAGCTTCCCTGAGGACAGCGATGAGCCGCCACCTGATGACAACTCAGGCTGGGATATAGACTTCTAATGCATTTCTCTTACCTGCTTCTGCCTTGCTGAAGACAGCTTTTGCTGAGACACAGCTGCCAGCAAACTGGAGGGAAAGAGAGAAGATCAGTGCTCGGGTCACCATGATGCCTTTGATTGATGCTGCTCCAGTAACTACAGTGGCATTAGGACTTACGCTTAGATGACAATAGTGCTCTTTACATGTTTTCTGTTTGAATTTAAAATAGCATTTGATATGGTGGTCCTGAAGCAAAGCCTTTCACCAGTAAAGAGATGTTTCTATCATTGCAAAGGCCTTGCTTTGCTCTGATTATCCTTTGAAAGATTGTAGGAAACACATCAATTTAGTAAAAGAGTCTGTACCTTGCTAGAATTATCTAGGGAATGAAAGAATAATATATTGGGTACGATAGGTTACTATGGTACAGAACCTGGGCTAATCCCTTTCTTCAAGTGAAGGTGGTTAATCTCTTACTGCAAGCCAGTGTATATACCGTACAAAAAAGGACCGCACGTCCGTGAGCCACAGAGTTCATGTCCAGCCTGTGCTAGAAGTGTCATGGTTTTATTTCCCAGCAGTGCTGATGGCAAGACTGAATGTTACCTTTTCTTTCTGACAGATTTTAAAAATTGATATGATAAAAAGCACAACTGCTATGGATTCTGCTGAGAACTTTCATGGCAGGTATATATGCATTTTCACTGAAGATTGGAAAAAAATGCATGATCTTTGTTTCTTTTGATAAATTGGCATGATAGAGTGGAGAAAAAGGCAATTCACACAACCATTTCATATTTCTAAAAGGTATTGTATGTAAAGATGGTCCTGGACATAAATAACTAGCAGCCAATTGGTTTTATTTATTACCTAATATGCCCTCAAACTGAGGCTTAAAATATTCCCTTTTATAAAAATGAACCCATGGGATAAGGATAGGGTAGGGTGGGAGGGAAAAATGCCCATCCAAAAAGTAAAACAAAAAAAAAAAAACTATATAGGTGCTATGTATATCTTTCATCTGTAATGTCAATGTCTGAATGGACAACACAAATTCCAAGCATTATATGTCTAGCCAGACTCAAGCGTTTTCACTAAATTTATTAAACCAAACTCATGTCAGCTTTCATTCTTAACAGCATAATCTAGATTAGAGAGAGAGGAGAAGATGGCTAAAGCCCTGTTTAAACTAGCCTTTTCTGTTTGAACTAGCTTTTTGTCTTAGGCCTGAACCAGAGAGAGAGAGAGAGAGAGAGAGAGAGAGAGAGAGAGAGAGAGAGAGAGAGAGAGAGAGAGAGAGAAGAAAGAACAAATTCAAGATTATTAAGATCTACTAGATCGTAAACCTCACTTATCTGAGGTCAGAGAACAAGAAAGCAAGCTGGCCACTTGGACTGAATTCAGACACTAGTCATAGTAAAAAGGAACTGGACAGAAAAATGGGAATCTGATTTGCTTAAAATAAGTTAGGGAAATAGAAAGAAATATCATGATCCTCAGATTTCATACTAGCTAGGAAAGACTGGATTTGAAAACTTCAAACTGATTCTCTTTTTTGTCATAGGGAAAAGAACCTGTGAATTAGATCAAGTGTTGTTGGGAGGAAAGTTGACCACGACTAGCTGTCATACATAGCAGAGCCATTTAGGAAGCTTTCTCCTGGACAGATAGAATTATGCCCATGCAGATAACTGTGTCAACTTGCAGCTGTCCTACTGATATGGAACTGTATGTAAATTTGGTATGATAAATACTGATTTGCTTTTATCCAATAGAGTTAAAATCAATCTATTATACATGTTACCATAAAATGTGTCCAATTGGATCATAATATTATGGCCAAGAAAGCATATATTATGCCTTTTAAGTTTTCATGCTCAAAACTAACTTAGGATATAATATCAAGAATAAAATATTCTAAAATAATTTGGAGGGTAAAACTCTAATGTTTATGATATATAATTAGAATAAAGTTCAAAGAAAATTTTGATCCTAATATATTATTATTGTGTCTTTGAAAATTTCCCATGTATAAATAATTTCTCAAAATCAATCTATTTGCCAAGATATGTGTTCTCTGCTGCAGATTGAACAATATAAAATTAAACATTTCAAAATCTAGCTCTGAATACTATTTCAGAAGCTTTTATACTTGTTTTCATTGGGCTTCAAACTAATATAATTCCACGTTATCTTGTGCATTTAATAATTTTCATTGAAAGTGTTGTTTAGGCATGCTAAGGCTTGCTAGAATAATGAATAAATGTACTCTTACCTTTACCAAAACAGCCCCAAGCCCCCTGATGTAAGCATTGCCTATGGAATTAGGGACTATGGCTCAAGTCTAAGGCAACCCATGCTTTGTGTCAGCTCTAAGGAGAAGGAAAAAGTAGCACTCAGCACTGTATAACTGTATTTTCTTTCCCCATCTGTAACTGCATCTCTGTTCATTTCATCTGCACCATTGCATTGGGATGTCTAAAGCAATCACCAAAAATAAAGGTGAACTATATCTTCCAAAAATTACTTACTGATAGCATCCATCTGATTTTAAACATTGAATTTTTAGGAATTAAATCTTGTCTTAACAGAGACACTAGGGCTATAATTCATGATAAACCTCGTGAAGTCCATCTCATTTAATTTCTGAATTTTTCATGGCCCCTCCTTTTTCTTTTTTTCTTAAAGAACACCTGGATCTGTTAGAATAGTGCCAACTTGTTTGATTTGTTAACTGACTTTGTTAATACTTTGAGTTTGGGAAGTAAGGGGTTTCTGTGGGTGTCTTAACTCACAGGAAAAATGAAAACTGCAAAGGAAAGGAACATTGTAATATTTGAAATAAATTGAAATCCTAGGAGAAAATGATTTCTGGAAAATTGTTACAGTTAATTTATGTTTGTTGCCTCTTTATTATTAAGATATAAATCAGAGCCATGCCACACTAAAAACAAATTCATTTTGATCATATTCTTTATGAGTCATACTTTTGCTAAAAATTATGGCAAATACATGTGAATTACACATGTTTAATAATGATAATAAAAAACTCAACTATTAAATCTTTCTTGTTGCATTTCGCAATGAGTGACAGGATGAACTTAAGTTTAAAGAAGTCAGCTACCACATTAAACACAAAGATAGTAGAAGTGACGTCATAAAGTAGGGGTGATCTTTGCATTATCCATACAACATTTTATTTCACAGTAGGACCACAGACAAATATTTATGTAAATAGATATTTTTGTGTGAAATTTTGTGGTACATAGAACTTTTTTTAGTGTTTCACAGCATTATTATTTCACTTTATTTGTATTGAATAATGTTTTTAGGTCCAAGTAGACTTGAATTAACGTCATAATTGTCAGTATTATTGAAAATTATGTCAACAGTACTGTTACTCATCTGTCCTATAGTTTAGAACATGACCTGGCTATCTGGCATTGTTGCAAGTGCCTTAAATTCATGGCATCGTATTAAAAAAAAAACAAAAACGAATTTGGTGTTATGCTGCATGACAAAGACAAACACACCTCAAAATGTTGTCCTTTCTTAGCTTGCTGCGTTTTACAGTTCTTTCTGCTAACAATTTATAAGCCTTTATTATATAATATTGATCAATTACAGAAATGATGAAATTGTTCTCTTATTTCTGTTAAATGTACCAGAGCTGTGTATCTGTTAATGAGATACAGCGTCATTTCTGTGAAATGTATAAATGTCTGTGCAGGTCAAATTAATATATGACATACTATCAGTCTGTATACAGGTATTCCTGTTTTGTTAAGCTGTGCAGATTCAGTTTTTAAAAATTAGTGCAGTCAAACTCTAACGTATCTCATTTTGTAGACTCCATTAACAATGATCCAACCCAAAAGAGAAATTGGAAGTGACTGCTAACCACACCTCGTTTAGAAACCAATGATGAACAAGTACCTTGGTGCACCATCAAACAAAACAGGATGCTTTTTCTGAGTTCTTGTATATGCAAACCTATTCAAAGGCAAGTTTTCCACAGCACTAGACAGCGGATCTCTGAAAGTATGTTGTTAGCCCTCCTCTTCATGTGCCCCTGCATCAACAGACAGCTCTGGGACCTTGGCAGTGACTCAGAGGTTTGGGCTTTCTGAGCGAATAGACATTTCTTTAAGCATCATCTATCCAGTTTATTTCAATGTATGATGTTTTTACAACTGGTCGGTTCTTTTGTATTCTTATAGCTATGGTTATTTGATTGTCTTCTTACAATTTGTTCTACATGGAAGAGTCCTTTGTTAGTCAGAATGCAACCGTCATCCAATGGTCATTGACCACTTGCACTCTTTTGATGTAGATTAAAAACTTTTTCATAAACTTAACCTGCTTTGATTTGCTCTGTATTTTTCCTGCAGCTGTAATTGCCGAGTGCCTGTTGTATACTTTATAGAGTTGAAATAAAAAAAACCTTACTTTTGAACTTAGTTGATGTTTAATTCCATAAAAGATTCAAGGAATAGCGCTAGTATACCCTATTTGCATTGAAATTCTGTGTAATGTTGTCGAATGTCGCCATAGCAATGGCGAAAATGCTTGTTATCCAAAAATCCCCCATGGAGCAGTGTGATCTACTATAAAATTAACACACCAATCCAGTTTAAAGATGGGGTCATCCAGTGTGTATAATACATCAAATATAGGTGTCCACATGAAACCACAAACTGGCTTTTTTGCTAGGTTACTACCACAATTACCAATCATTCCTTTTTTAAAAATTACTTTAAAAAGGAAAAAAAAAAAACCCCAAAAGCAAATAACAAGAACAAAGACAGAAACACAGCAACATAAAACAATACAAATGGTACAGAATTTCAAAACAAGAGTAGAAAATTAATTATGGTTGTTGTATTACCTATTGCTATCATCAAATTTGTTGCTCAGATTACCAGATATCAACATGCAAGACTGATCAAAGAATTAAACATTAACTCTTCCTTTTATAAACCTTAACTTTTTTCTCATCCTTTTTATTTCTTAATGTATTCTAAAGAGCATAAAAATAATAGGTAAGACATTAGAAATGTTACACATTTTAAGAAATAATTTGAAAGGGATTCAACAGTGGTTGTAACAATCATTCCTTCGATAAAGTCCACGAGAAAATATTTTTTCCACGAGAAAATATTGCAAAAATAGTTGGATAAAAAAAAAATTAAAAAATTAAAAAAAAAAAAAAAAAAAAGGAAAAAGCCTACAGGGAGTCATGGACATCCAAAGCATATTAAATACTCCATCCAAGTGTTAAATGATATTTGCATTTCTTTGAATCTTATTTCCAATTAGCTTATTTTTTTTTCATGTTGAAAGAAAATATTTATTGAATCAAAACCAATACTTTCTTTTTAATATCTTCAAGCCAACACTGAATTCACTTTATTCAAGAATAAACACAACGTACAAAAAAGTATGCTTATATTATAAAAAATTACGTCAACTTTGGTGGGTGCTGAGCCGAAGTCATTTTAAACACCATCAAGGCCGGCTTGCTCTGCTAACGAGCCCACCCTTGCCCTCCGCCCAGGTCCAGCCCCGCCCGGCTCCCACAGCGCCCCCTACCGCCCACCCGCGGTTCGGTCCCTGCGGGTCTGTCCGCAGCCCTTGGCGTCTATTTCAGCCAAGCAGTAACAAAAGGGATTCTGAGCACAGAAACCCTACTTATTTAATCAGCTTCAGTTTAAAACTGAGAGCCACTGCCCTGGACAACAACCGAGCGCCCGCAAGATGAAGGTGGGGAAGCCACGCCCGCATCGGAACGTGCAGCGGCGCGGCAGCGACCCTGGGCTGGGGCAGCGACCCCGGGCTGGGACAGCGACCCCAGGCTGGGACAGCGACCCCGGGCTGGGGCACTGTCGTCGCGGCAAGCGGCCTGCTCCGCGTGTGCACAGCCCGGGGTCTCTGCTCTGCATTTTCAGGGATTGGGAAAACAGGAAAATAAAAACAATCCTGAACCGAGGCAGAGGGACGTGACTACCCGTGCCGCTGTTCTGGGAAGTTCTGGGACAAAAAGCTGCCCTCGGTCTGAAATCCAAACCCGCCGCGCTGAGGGCCTGGAGGCCGGGTCCCTTGCAGGCCGAGCGCAGAGCAGGCGGCTTCCCGTGCAGAGCCTGGAGCAAGGCACAGCACGGCACACTGATGGCCCCCGAATGGCAGAATACAAGGATCGAGTCCTCTGGTGCCCTCTCTGCTGGGTAAATCACATTCACAAATGCTGTTTTACTTACATAAACCAAAGTTTCTTGAGCTGTTTTTTTGTTTTTGTTTTTTGTTTTTTTGTTTTTGTTTTTGTTTTTTTTTGTATTTAGGACAGAGTCTACCGGGTCAACAGGGTCTCACTGCTTTGATCGAACTCGTAGTGATCTTTCTGTTTACAGCTTCCCAAGAGCTGGATTACACCGCGCCCAGTCTCAGTCGACCCGGCTCAGGGCACCCCAGCTCAGGGCACCCCAGGGACAGGGTCAGCACCGCATGCTGGGATAGAACTCCTGGCCCCTACATCTGCCTAAGCAGGCACTTTAATCCGCTGAACTATTTGGCCAGCCGAGTTACCTGTTTAACAAGAACCTGGGACTAAGATTTTCCCTGGGAAAAAGAATAAACGAAGACAAAAGAAAATTATCTGTGTTCCACTACACAACGACTAATCCCTTATAGCGCTCTAAATTTTCCATTAAGCCCCATTTCCTGTATGAAAATGTTAATCCTACCAAATATAGATAGGTCTGAATTAGACAGGATTTAAACATTTTAGTACTACAAACTACTGGCTCATTGTGACCCTATGTTTAATTATGAAGGCAAACATTTACAGGAATAGTTGAAATACGCAAAATTTGTGAAAAGGAACGTTTTAGAACCTGAGCAAATGCCTCTCACCAATGCCATACATAAAAAGCCACCCCTAGGTCGTTGTCACAGGCCGTGAGTCCACCAGGTCAGTGTGCTGCTTTTGGCAGCATCCACAGCTTCATGTACGCAGAAGCCCAAGTCTTGGCAGGTCTGCGACCATGAGCACAGGCCTGAAGTTGGACATGCCGCTGGCAGAGACAGCTGGACATCAGAATATTACGCATGAAGCTCTGTGAAATTCGAACAAGTGCACAAGGAATGAAGGGCTCACAGGAGGAAGCCGCTGCTAGAGGCTTCAGTGCACCACGCAGACACAGCCGCACCGGTTCACAACCACAGGTCCTGGCTCTCAAAATACATACACTGAACACTTACAACAGAAGGAAGGCTTCAAGAATGCAAGCTTTTCTCTTATTGCAATTCTAGTCAAACAGAACAAAAAGCCAAGACTGCTAAAAACGAGCAACAGAGTTACCTCCCTCTGGGAGCCCGGACACGGCTGGGGCCGCAGCCAAGGTCCAACAGCAGCAGTGTCACCAGCAGAGTCAGGCAGAAGAGAAACGCTCGCCTCTCAGGCCACCAACCCAACTCCTGGAGCATGCATCATCTACTCCGTTGTCATCTACTCCTCTGAGGTTTCAAATGAAGAAAGGGTCACTGTGCTTGGGGGTCACATACCTTCCAGAATACACAATAAGTGGTACTCAGCAAATGACAGATCGCTGCCTAAGAGGGAAATCATAAGGCGGAGGACTGGAGGCAGAAAGGAAGTGCTTGAGATGGGAAAACTGCAGATCGGGGCTGGCATTCACAGAACATAGCATGTTAGGGTTAAGGTCCCACTGGTGACAACTGGACGCCGCAGGCCTGGCACCTGTGCCACTGCAGAGACATGCATGCGCCTATGGCGACATCCTCAGGGCAGAAGGCCACATCTTGCCGGCGTCGTTTTGAGGAAGGGCAATGCGTCCTCATGCTTCTTCTTTTGTAATTAAGATTGAAAAAATGCAATCACAAGACAAAAAATGATAGAGTAGTGGTCAGAGGAAATAGCGAAATTCATAATGATCTATAAAATCAAAGAAAAATTCAAATTATTTTCACTTTTAGGCTTCTATTCTATATTACTTAGCTTTGAGACAGGGTCCTGCTACGCAGTGCAGGCCGACCCCAAACTCCACAATGCTCCTAACTCAGGCTCCTGGGTGCTGGATCATAGGCGTGCACCGCCACACCCGGCACTATTCTCTTTAAAGGCAGGGTTTTGTTTTTTTTTTTTTTATTTTGAAATCTTATAATGAAGGGTTTATAGTGTTAAGTCTAAAATCATCTCACTGTGTGTGCCCAGTATTCCAAGCAGCAGCAGCACACGAAAGGATGCAGAAGATGCCTGTTGTCCTGCATGCCTGCAGGCCTATGTGCCCTGCCCTGCTGTCCCACCGAACCCACCCAAAGCCCACGCTCCAGCAGCTGCCGCGAGCCCTGGACACAGAGCCCGGGCCGTCATCGTGCACGCATGCCAGACACTACCCCGCGGTGCTGTCCACGAGCTGGACCTCAGGCCTGCCGCCATCCCGGCGCTGAGGCCGCCCTCGGACTGCATCTGGCTCCGGCTGGAGCTCACCAAGTTCACTCTGCTGAACAGGTCTCCTGAGCCGACCTGAACCCTGCGCAGAGTTTGTCGGTTCTCCAATCGCACTGCGGTCATTTCGGCGCCGCTTTTTAGGCTGAGGCTGCTCCACAATGCAGCACTTGAAACACAGCCAGAATTCGCTCACGCTTTCAGTTCAAGATATAAATGAGAGCCGGTGATGGTTCCAATCTCACTTCTGGAAGCTTCTCAAGGTATGTTCCTCAACACGAGGAATGTCTAATCCAAGTCACAATTCTGTATCATGGTCTTGGAAGCCAAATTTATATAGCCAAAGAAACAGGTTGCTTCCTTTCCTTGCTCCTGGTTCTCCACAAGCCTTTCTAAACCAGCACGAAAGTGTAAAACTGTTGTGTTGACACAAGACCCGCAGCAAGTAGCCACTCCTCATTCTGTCTGGTTTGGGTTGAGAACTCGCCGTAGTACCTACACTGATGCCTCGCAAACTCTTTATTCACAGTTGTTCCCTGACAATTTCTCCATTTAGTTCCAGGTTTCACTCAAAATATCCACCAATATCCACCAACTCAGAACTGGCCTAGCCTCGCCTTTGTCTCCCCTCCTGCTCCGGTTGCAGCTGCCCTCAACCCCCGTACCTCAGCTCCTGCCAGCCCCACCTCGAATTAATTTATGAAAACATGATGCTGATAACAAACCATTTTATTAAGGAATAGAAAGGTGATTTACAAAACCTAAAAGGTACATTTATGCCCACTTTGGGGATCGGAAACATTCGGACAGGGTACTGTCTGAGTTGACCTGTATTCGGCTGTCAGTCTCTAAAGAGGAATAATGACAGTGGCCTTGAGGTTTCTGCTTCAACGGAGTTTTGGCCTCAGTTTAGGAATGCCCAGTTTCCCTTCCTCGATGTTTCTCAACGGAAGTTGAGAAGTAACTTAACTCAATGGAAGTTAAGTTACTCA